CGGTGTTTACTTCATCGTGAAACGATGCTCTCTGCTCTATTTGTACGCCAATGACGGGACATTCGCACAATCCCCTTACCTTGATGTTCATGGTGAGGTCGATGTCTCAATGAGGTCAGTCCGTTCTGCTGCCGTATTTCAATGGAATGCTCAATTGCGGTGCACAGACGCGGTCGTCGTCAATATATACACCCAGCTAGGTGGGAAGAAGTCCGCAAAACGTGGCTCAACCACGGTATTCCAACTGCTGTTGCTCGTAAACTTGAGAGCATGGTCGACAGTGGAGGATGGGAAGCACTTTGATTGCTTAGAGAACTGTCCCGTAATTTTAGCGAGAAGCTTGTGCATACTACTCACATCATCTGTATACAAGTAGACGAATGGACAAATAGATATTCGATCATGTTCATTTCGAATTGCTGGTTTTGTGCGCTGAGAGCGCCAATTTCAGCCTTTCTGCTGTCCGTTCGGTGCCAAGAACATCGATGATCTCAGGAAGACTAGGTCCTGCTTTCATCCCAGATAGCGCGTGCCTCAAAGCAGTCATGAAGACCTTTGACTTCAAGCCTGTTTTCTCGCACGCATCATGCAAGAAAACTGCAATGTCAGCTTGAGTCGACGGTGACGAAGACTCGAGTTGCAGGATAACTCGTCGCAGTACATGGTCTATAGTGATGCAAAGCGATCAGTAATGCTGATTACTGACATTGCGCGACTTGCCGTAGTCATCAGCTGATAGCCCTCGCTTCATGGAATGCGCTTCGGGCAAATCATAATCCAGTTCCACGAAAAAGAATGGAGCGAGTGTTGGAACGTCATAAAGATTTGTTATGCGACCCTGGGAGCACTCTAGCTATATGTTGATCCAGTATGCAACGCATGCTCACCTGCAAGACACTGATCACACGCGTGATGTATTCTACATTCGTGTATAGACTAGAAACACCGAGTTAACAAGGGCATAAATCGATAGATGAATAGACTACCTGTGAGGGAAAGCAGCCTTCACAACATCATGCACTCGTCTTGCTTGGAAATCAATACCCTGTTCGCTCTGCCAGCTCCGCATGAAGTGATGTTTGTTAAGATATGCAAGCTTCGTGGGATCAAGAACATTCCTGCGATGCGTGAGGGAAGATAAATCAAACTGCAGAATAAACCCGTTGTAGAACCCGCGAAGAACCCATGAAATAGTGACAACGCACTTGGTCGATGAGTTCTGGGAGCGTCATGAGGGTTGTGCTGTCGGGAGGTTGAGTCGAGGGCGTTCCGGGTGGGGAAGTACGCCCATTTTCGTGGTGCACGCCCCACCCAGCCAGTGCCAGCCAATTTATAACACTTTCGGGCTCCCAACCACGGCGCTATGGAAAATGGCGTTCAAATCAAATTTGGTGGGTGAATAAAAGTGACGTACCATGAAATCTAAGACAGACACATCTCCGTTGCGCTTTGACATCTTTGTTCCATTCGGGTTCAAGAGGATGGGTAGATGCGCAAACTGAGGGGGCTTGAAGCCCAAACATGAATACAGATCGAGGTGTAGTGGTAGTGAAGGTAGCCATTCCTGGAATCCATTAAATTCAACGACGTCGTGTCACAGAGGTATGAACACCTACCTCTCCGCGGAGAACGTGTGTGATATTCATCTCATGGTCGTCAACAACAGATGCCAAATGGTACGTAGGGAACAGATCAGATTTCAGAAGAACGGGGTCTGTTGGAAGTGACGCATGTGCATCCCTCAGGATACCGAAGACGATATCGGTGGGTGAAGCACGGTCTGGGAGGTTGTCATCCTGTCACTTGTAAGCATGAGGTTTGATGGCACAATAGATACACTCACATTCAGCCTGACAATGGACTTTTCCCCAGCACGTACTCTCCGTGCAACTTCTTCCTCAGTGAGATGGAGGCAAGACTTGTCATACGTGGCATTTGACCCTGTGCGTGCAAGCTTCTCGCGGGTAGCAGCAAGTTTATCGGGAGAGCAAAAGCACCGATATGCGTGACCAGACTATGAATTGGCAATGGTTAAAGAAAGAAGAGAGAAGTAATGAGCACACGACGGACTTCTAGGAGCCTGCGTGTATATGAATGATAAAGGTCGAGCCGTTCTGACTGGTGGAGCTCAGTACACAGGGCGCGCGACAAGTTGTAAGACACCGACTTGGAAATACGGCCCATGGGGACCATCCATTCCAGGACCTATATGAAGATTGTTTGAGTTGCTTTGAGCCGGAATGTGATGTACAACATACCGAAGTCATACGGAAGACCAGCCCATGCCAATGCATTCTTAATGCCGTCCACTGCGGTCGGTACATATCTCGCCTGGGTCACGGATGAGATTTTGCTGCAATGAGGAAAGCGTGCAACTGACCGCGTCAGTGTCTTCTATTCTGAGAATCCATTTTCCTCCGTGTTTTTTGGCGAACAGATGGTTGTAAAGAGCGGTCCTGAGTCCACCGAGGTGAAGAGCACCAGTAGGAGATGGTGCAAATCTCAAGAGAACCATGTTTGAGAATTTATGTTATTCAATAACAGGCCAGAACCAGGCACTTCAATCGATATTGAGTACACTGTGCAGTAGAAGCAGTGATGAACTCGAGCCGGTACTTCAAGTTGGATGTGGGGTTAGTCAAAGCTTGCCTTGTCGGATCCATCTACAAACAAATACTATATCTCAAACGGCCACCCATCATCATGTACGATCAAACCAACACTTCGCAGGATTTTTGACAAACGTCTATGTTGGCATATAACCCGTATATGATACCTAATGTATGTGTTCAATTTGTACTACTGCATTGACGCTAGGGCGAGTAGACACGCCCCCCTCAACATCTATTCCTTTATCCAGAACGCCCGGGAACACAGGTTTAGACACGTCCCCTTCACAAGACCCACAAACATGGTGAAGTGTAATCGGTTGAACGACCCTTACCACCTTGTAACATCTGCCTCAGCCTCTCCAAACAGGCTCGTCTTCTTGATCGCAAAGTCCCCCTCGGGAATATCTTCCTCATCTCTCACATATAGTTCTGGAAACTCCCTCCTAAGGAATCTGAGGACATGGGTATTGATTTGCTCGAATTCAAGGAGGAAGCCGTCGTGGCCATCAGGCGATGGGATGACAACAAGTTCTGCATCCGGTATGTGTGCCGCGAGCTCCTTTTGTTCAGAAGGAGTGAACAAGCCGTCCGTTTCTACGCTGATCACCAATGCACGCGGAGGGAGAGTTGCAATGACAGCGGCAAGGGCGGTTGATTGTGTTGTCGGTGATGGAAGGTCTTCGGTAGTGGAGGTCCGTCCTCGAGCGACATCATGCGTATCCATCTTGCGGGTGATATGGATGTAACAATTAGCATCAAAACGCGCCACGAATTTGGCGCCTTGATAGCGTAAGTACGATTGTGCTGAGAAAGGTGGAGGGGGTGAATCAGACCCCGTGCCATTCGGCCCTTCTGTGGGAGAATGGGGCAGAGACGATGCGGCTGAGGTTTGAGTTTGGGGGCGTGTACGGGTCACCTTTTTGTGACCCTCATTATGAGCAGCGAGATCCTTATCAGCAAGTGTAATAGAAGAGGGTGTGACAGTGCTAGACTCCGGGACAGGGGGAACTTGAGGGCGACGTCCAAAGCGACTCTCGAAAGAGTCGCGCGACCGATAAGTTAAAAGTGCGGCCATTCGAGCAGCAGCTAAGCCTGTTGAAGGTTGTGTTGCATAGTACCCGTCGTCGTAAAGTGGATCACTATAAATGCTTTGACGTTGTGCCTCTCCCCAACTGATACACCAAGCAGAGTGCCGCGCAGACGTAGCCAAAGGAATGATATGGCGGACATAACCTGGGGGACTGCACAGAGGCCATTCAAGCACAGCCATTCCGCCCATGGAGCCTCCAATGGCTACGGCAACATTAGACACCCCCAAATTATCAAGAACGAGCTTGTGCAGCCTGCCAATGAACTAGGTTAGAAATCAATTCGAGATACTGAAAGACCACTACCCACCGCACATCATCACGTATCGATGTCTGAGGAAATTCTGGGCCATAAGGTTTGCCTGTCTCTGGGTTAATTGTCACAGGAGAGGCCGATCCATATGGTGAGCCCATAACATTAGCACAGAAAATGAAAAAGCGATTGGGGTCGAAGGCCTTCCCACGTCCGATAAGAGGCCCCCACCTGGAAGGCATAAGAATTTTTCTGAAATGGAACACCAAAAATCTCACCAATCTTCTACGTCTGCGCTGCCAGTGAATGCATGACATATGATCATAACGTTGTCTCTAGTGTCATTCAATTTGCCCCAAGTCTTGTAGGCAACCGGGACCTCTCGCAAAATCCTCCCATTCTCGAGAGCAAACGATGGAACAATGTAAATGTTCTGGTCGACCAAGGGTGCAAGAACAGACATGATGAGTCACTTGCACTCGTGACTCGATCGTTATGACACACAAACGCTGCGAAAATAATGAAAAGATAGATGAAAGAGATAATTAATGATAATGCCGAATGTTACGAAAAGAAAGTGTAGCCTAAACAGACATGATGGTGGTAAATGAGTTCGTGGCCCAATCGAAAATTTGAAATATGGTGGGATCAAGACCTTGATAAAAATAGAAACTGATTGAAGAATCAGCTTCTAGATTCAACAGCTGCAAACAAGTAATTATGTAGCGACTCGGACTTCATCCATGCTGCAATTCGCTACATGACGCGGTCTCTCGGCACTGAACATGTAATCTTATTGGCACACTGATCGGCAACGCATTTTTACTACTGCAACTTCTCTCGGTCCAAATGGCTTTGCAGGGAAGAGGAAGGACATAAGTACCTCAGGCGCTGGGTGTGACCATTCGGATTGCATAGTTGTGCAGGAATAGTGGGTCAACATGATTCATACAGCCAAGAGCGACACTGGCTCTATCAGACAGTATGGAGCAATCCACTTGGACTCCTCTTAACGGGCCAATGTCTTCATATCATTTGTCTCACAGCATCATGCATTGCCCATATCATTATACCAATAGTGATGTCAAGACAAATTAAAATTTGAAAGTTACCACCATGAATTGAAAAACAGAACAATAAAGGGATTAATGAAAGCCGTGCAGTTTGCCAATTGAATTCATGTACAAAATGTTCCATGGACAGACTATATACGTGGGCAACTACTTGCAAATCGTTACAAGATCTTCTGAAATTCGCTCTGCTCCGTTTTCACCAACAGAAGCGTCACGGCAAAGGGGTTTGCAAAAATTGCTGAAAGCCGAAGCTAACAGACGGGTTCGGATGTGTAATTTGCAATCAGCAAAAGACTGTGCCTCGGTAAAGACCTCACTGGCGACAGTAACATGCCCGAGCACAAGAGATGGGGAAATAGAATGCGGAACGAGGGTTTATAAAGGCTAACTAGTCCACGCACGGACCAAATTCCAGATTTAGCAATATGTAGTGTTACCCATTTTGGCAGGCAAGTACACTATTGATGGCGCTAGTATATACAGTTTTGTGTTGTTTCTAGTACTGTAACGCTGTAACATGCTACTAAGGGCAGACGACGCTCCATCCTTTCCACTCTGTTCTACCCTCCTGGATATCAAGAATCTTTTTCCGGAGTGCCGTGCCAACTGGGCCCATCTCAGCCCCAGTCGGAATTACGATATCCTTACCCTCGTACCCAATTCTATTGCAAGGTCCAACAATGACCGCTGTGCCTATGACTAACGCCTCCAGCAATTTGCCTCGGACGACCATTTTTCGAGGTCACCCATGGTATACACCGTTTCTTGTGGGTGTATGCGCACTGAGCTTTCTTTGTGGAATTCTGGATCGCTTGCGAGGGCAAGACATGATGCTCTAGTAACTCCAGGTAGAATAGTACCGTCCAGAGGGGCGGTAATAAGGTCCACGCCTTCAACGGACGAGTTCATTTATATATCTACATTTATTCAATTGAAACTCACCAGTCCCCCCATCATCCCTCTTGACTACAACAAAGAAGTTCATCGCTCCAGCCTCTGTGATCCTCTGTCATCACCAAACAGCCAAAGGATTTGTTCGTAGCCTTCTCTGCAGCAGTGCGCTGGGGTAGGAGCCGGGTGAGTAGTTGCCAGCGACTTTGTGCCCTCCAGTTCCACCCGGCCACGCGCGCACATTTTCACTGACCGCAAGGAGAGAAACAGGCTTCAACACTTCAAAGTATGGCCCAGTTGGCGATGCAAGAACGTAAAGCATGGCATAGTCGGATGCTCTCCCTCCCAAAATCTACATTGCAATCAGGTGAATACTCGTATATCATTGACTCATTCCACGAACCTAGGCGGGTTGCGATGACGGTAGGACGCAGATACAAACTATATCCAGATTCTTTGGGTATCCAGCGCTTTTCAAGATTCACCAGACACTTTATCAGTTCTAAAACGACATCTCCGTCGATAGGCTGCATGGGCAACGAAGTCAGAGTCTACCTGCATGCCAATCGTACTCACGGGAAGAGCGAGACGTGCACAAGACCTCTCCATTCGACGCATGTTCATATCTGGGCGGAACAAGCGTGCCTTACCGTCAGGCCCAAGATA